TGTTTTGTTGAGAATTTGATCGATCCCAATGTGAAGCACATCCGCAGAGGAAGGATATTATATGCTTAAACGTGAAGGTTGGGCGCCAGCTTTCAAGGGCCTCGGATCACGTGACCAATCTCTTCTCTTCTTTAATCTTTACGTAAAATGCACGTGCATGCCTACCCTTTCCACAGCCGATGCGTATCCCTTTTTTCACCTTAAGCCTTGAGTCCCAAGCCTAGCTATGCTGTGTCCTTATGTGCAAATTACACTTTCCATACCTTACCTCCCCCTACCTCCTTGCATTTCAAGCCTAAACTCAACTCAACTCTCTCTCTCTCTCTCCTTTTTGAGATTCCAACGTAGAGAAGAAGCTGTTTTGATAACAACAGAATTCAATTCTTATCAAATTTAAGGGACTCACTGAATATCATACCTTATCTATATAGTTTTTGTGCTCTCATTTTAACCTTCTTTGATACGCCAACATACTAGTAAATTAGGTATTATCGGATCATTATAAAATCATGTAAAAATTTTAAAATACGCAAATATAATGGTTAGAAAAACGTGACCTTCCAGTACACCAAGCGTAGAAGAAAATCTCCCTAATTAGAATATCTACACCTTTATTTTTGTATGCATTCCTTCAGCGAATATGCATGGGGCCGTCCTAACCATGGCCCTTCCGGCAATATAAAGTTGCGTCTTATATGTCTAAAGGCCAAGCACTGTGAAAAGTTGAACCGCACATCTAACACCCACCATCTCTTTAAGTTATTTTATGTTATCCGCGTTGAGATCTGCTATATGTAGAATATATGGGGTTTATTCCTGGTAGTTAGCTGCCTATATTAAAAAGTGTAAAAATCAAATTGCATGTGTATATACACACAATACATACACATATGATATACCTATATGTATAAAATATTGCTAAATATTATTAGTATTCAATACTGAGGGTCGTCTATTTTGTTAGGAAAATATTTAGAGACACCACTTGTATTAAATACCTTAACTAATAGAAGGTGTGGTTCACATTCTGTGGGATCCACATCAGCATGTGGTACTCAATATGATTGCTATCTTTTAACATTGTTTATTTTGTCACCATTATGTAGGCTTTTATATTCATGTGTACATATGTGGCTAGTCATATAAATCAGAGAGTTAATAACATTTATATGACATATGACCTTAAAATTTCCAGTTATGTGCAATTTTTAATTAGTATATTGGGTATTTTGGCCTGTCACATATTCTCATCCTGTTAATTGGATAAGATAAAGTTTGAGGATGGCTTGTGATTGAAACTTGTAATACGTGGCTCCCAGCGTAGTATACATTCAATTTTCACGTGTCCAATTTGCTTAAGATTGTGTGAGAGGCAAGGCATGTACTTGATTGAGCTAGCTTGGAATAATCATGACACACATAATTAATTGGCTTCAACTTCGTGCCACGACAATATTCACACCATTGTTAATTAGGTGCTTAGCATCCAGAAGGGAATTTATTTAATTGGAACATTTTCTTTTTTTTCCTATATATGCTATCTCTTCCTTTATGCCTACTATTTATGATGCAGCGGAATAAATATGATAGATTTTACCAGTCTTATTCAGATGGAAGATAAGACTTAAAAGTCTAAATCTACCTAAAGAAATCTCACAAGAGAAAAATTCTAAATTGACAGAGAAAACTCAACTCTAGTATCTAATTTATCAATTATTCAAGTATGCTATTGTAATAGGTAATGTGGATATTTATAATCCACTTACAAAATGATATACAAAAAAAAAAAATCACTAAAACAAACAACAAACTGATAAAAAAACAAAACAAAATTAATAAACTAGAATAAACGACATAACAAACATATAAAAACTACTATTATGACTAAAACCTCCAACATTATCTAAAAAATTTTGCAGAGCTTGGAAGTACAATTTAAGCGTTTTTGCCAGCTTCAATGGGACGCTTTAGTTCTGAAGAAAGCAATTGACATATTCTACGCCCTAATAAAACTTCTTTTTGTGCGGCCAATCAATGGAATTTCAAATATTTGGTACATTTATTCGCTTGTGCATTTTGTTCGAGTTTTTGTAAACAAAAGGGGCAAGAGCGGGGAACCTAAAAATCAAAATCAAACTAGATCAGTAGATCTTTTGCCCAAAGTCGAGAACTTTGACTCAATCCTTGGCTTTTAGCTGGGTCAGAAAGTGTATGATTCTCTTCATGGATTTTTCAATTCCATACGGCTGCCATTGCCCACTTTAAAGTGCGTCTTAGATCTGTTCCTATTCTTACCTCAAAGGAAAAACAGGGCATACATATATAATATGTGATATATATATATATATATATACACACACATATATATACACACACACGCTGTTGTCGGCAAACTAATGGGAGTACGTAATGTGACAAAAACTTGTTCTCTAAGGACAACGAGAAACATATGGTACAGCGACATTGCTTCTTTTTCTCTTTTACGTGCTTTTTCATGGATCCACCAAGATTAGAATTTCTCTATTTAATGCTCATCATTGCAATATGCTCAAGATTTTGTGTTGCCATTTGGTAGGAACACCTTTTCGACTGTCTCTTGTACAGCACAAGTGTGCAATCCCCAGCCATCCGCTTGCATCTCATTTCCAAAACGTAACCCCAATTTAAACTCCTTTCTTCTTTTGCTTCTTTTGATTCATTAAAACGGATAAAAAAAAAAAAAGGTCGGGACAAACAATTTTGTGCTTATTGAGGAACATGACAAACAATCTTATAAGCACATTAACCCAGGTTTTGGTAAGAAATAAATTATCAGCAGATTTTTATTTTTCAGTCGTTAAATTAGTATAAAGAATTTATTGTTTCTTCAATGGTTAACCGTCACAAATTTACCATACTGCAAAAAGACCCTTCAATTTAATTTGATTTCTTTTAGCTATTATTGATGTATAGCACGTCCATGCTAATGGATCAATACGGAATCTTCTTACCAATAATTAGTCGATTTTGTGTCTTTTGCATAGACTATAATTTAAAGTTCATTATAAACTCGTTCTTTGAATTTAAGAAGTCTTGTAAATCGATCACCTTATTGATTCTTCTAATAACTAATAATTGGAGGAAAGTGAGATTATATTGGTGCGGTCTAAGCCGCTTTGGTTGAGAATTTGTTAGGTTACTCAAGCAGGCACCGACATATAATAAACACAAAATGTAGGGAGACTCGAAGACACATAGTCTTCTATACATGCCCTTTATATCCCTATTCCCTAAGCACGAGTTTTCCTTAAAACGACATACTAGGCAGACTATGGCACAACACAAACATTACAATAGTGGAATTTTATGTTGCATGACGACAACTAAAAACATATACCAAACTCCTAAAGAAGAAAAATTGTAAATACATTAAAGGAAAACAAGAAAGAAAGGAAAAAGAAAATAAAGAAGCCAGTCTAGAAAAAGATTACAGCTGGTCATCATTCTAGTGTGGTCCAGACCAAACAGTCCCTTAATTGCCGTCTATTAGTACTGTTCCAAATCATCTATTTTCTTTGTCAAAGCCAGTGGTTGTTGTTTGCAATAAACACTAATTATATTCACCAACAAGGTCTAATTGGGTCACGCGATTCCGATTAAAAGCGGTTTGTTGCATGCACTTTTTAATAATAGACACGATAATCATTTCTTGATTAGACTAATAGGATTTTATTTTATTGTCAATTGGGTTGCTACTGGTGATTTTTTTTTTCTCTCCATAGTTTCAGCATTTGTGCATAAGGGATATTAGTTTTCCAAAACATATGTAACGCAAGAATTATTTTTAATAGAAAAGGGGAAATTTAAAGAGCCCTTTGGCAAAGCTTATCAAACACACACTCTCTCTCTCGCTCCTTGTAATTAGGCCAATCATGTTTTTAACTTTAATTGCTTTTGTCTTGTCCAATAGTCTCATTTAAGGTGACTAAACTCTGAGGGTAAAAATTCCAAAGAGTCACATCCTTGAATTTGTTGAAAAGCCATCTAAATGGCCGGTTCAAAGAATTAGTTTTGTGCCTATTTGGTTCCGTTTTTTGAAAACAGTTTTTACGTATTTTAAAAAATAAAAAAATAAAAATAAAATGACGTTTGTTTAGTAAATTTGAAAATAAAAACAATGATAATAATTTTTGTGAAGGAATTAGAAAATACTTAAAATTTATTTTAACTTTTTTATTTTTATTTTTTAATATTTATCAATAATATTATAATATATTAATTAATAATCACGTTTTTACTTTTTTATTAGACTCAAAATAATATCTGAAAAAAATTAATCAAACGCAATTTCAGAATCAGTCTCAAAATGATTCTCAAAACAATCTCATTTTTACTTTTTATTAAAAATAAAATCATTTTGAAACTAATTCTAAATGCACCCAATTTGTGTTTTAAGAAGTCTCTCGGATATTACATACCAAAACTCATAGACATTTTCAGCGTTGAAATAATAAGAATTGTTAAGGTAAATAAACAAAAGAAAATGAGAAGACTTTAAGAGGAAAATGAATTTTAAGTTGAATTAGTGTGGTTCATTTAAGAAAACATTGACTCCTAAATGTAAATCTTGTATACAATTACCTTTTTAAACAACAGTTTTGACTGATAAAAGTAGACGGTTTTATTTATTGAATAAAGATTCAACAAGCAATCATATTTTAAGTCTTAAATTAAATTCACCTCCGGTTATACTTAATTTGTTAAATTCTATCAGGTGCTTAATCATTATTGGTTATCACTAGAAAATCCTTTTAGCATTTTTCAAGATATCCTTGACCCACCTATATTTCTCTCTCAAACCCAAAAGAGATAAAGTTGATTTCTTGGAAGCCACTCTAGGAGGGCTATCAATTTATATATATGTACACCTGGAGAGAGTGTTGAAACACAAATCCTTCACAAACAAGCCATCTTTTTTTTTTTCCTTCATTATTTAATTCCAAATTACATAACTCTTCCAGATTCCTTCATGTAGTTATATTCAACCATATTCCATTTCTCAACCCATTCCTCTCATTGTGTAACATTCTTTATTTTGTGACGAATTCAACATTGTGTTGATTCATTCATAATCTACTCTTCCATAGGCACAAAAATAACTAACAAGAGTGAGAGAGAGTAATGGCAGAGATAGCCAATTATAGAGTGGACAATAACTTGGGTTGTGGTTTTATGGGAGGGATTTTCCAGCGCTGGAACCACTGGACAAGAAAATCCCATGTACATTCACTGCCTTCTAGTGGTACTAAAACACGGCCACCAAGTTCCGAAAACCCGGAGAAGGCTCCAAGTCAGAGTTCCAGGAGGAGAAGAAGCAGCTCTGCAGAGCCTGCCATTCCACAAAACTCAAACTCAGCTAAACCTCTTCCAAAGTCAGACCAAAATCCCACCAGAAATCTTCCCGCGGATCATCCTAGGACTTCGACTTCTCAGCGAAAAATTCAAGGAGTTCGGAGACTTTCAGATGCTGCAAGAAGCTCGACGTCATCCTCCAATGGCTCAGGCCAAAACCATGACTCAGGAGAAGAGAGAAAGCTGAGAAGGGAATCGACACCGAACTCTCTCGAGTTGAGCAGGATTGTCGCCCAGCACGACAGCAAAGTTCTAGCAAAAGCTTCTTCTACTAGTGCTATTGTTTTAGGACATGTGGGAAACTTGAAGCAGTCAGGAAGCAGGAGTTCTCTGGCGAGCAATAGTCCTAGTTCTGCGTCTAGAGCTATTTTGGCCCTTTCTAGGAACCTTCAAGAGATGAACTCCTTGCCCCGAAAGAATGGTTTTGGAGGTGGGAATAACACTAGTATGGGAAACATTGTGAGGAGGAATAGTTGGAGTGATCATTTTCGGGGTGTTTCGAGTAAGTTAGACCCCGAAGCGTTGAAGAGGATGGGAAATGAGGCCTACAAGCAGGGCAGGTTCAAGGAGGCTTTGGATTTTTATGATCGAGCAATTGCTTTGGATTCAAACAAGGCAGTCTATCACAGCAACAAGAGTGCTGCTTTGATTGGCTTAGACCGTCTTGTAGAAGCAGTTTTCGAAAGTAAAGAGGCTATAAGGATTGAGCCTTCCTATCAAAGAGCTCATCATCGGTTGGCAACATTGTATATCAGGTATCATTCTCTTGATCAAATGAGGATTAGTCTTAAAGAAAAGAAAATGATTTTATTTGCTTGAAAATGTGACCAAGACAATTACTTTAAATGTGCCGCTTAGATTGGGAGAGGCTGAGAAAGCTTTGCATCACTACAAGCACTCTGGTTCCTACTCTAACTCAAAGGAAGTTGACAAAGCTCAGGCACTTAAAAAATGCCTTGTCAAATGCAATGAAGCTCAGAAACAACAAAAGTGGAATGCTTTGCTAACAGAGACCCAATTCACGATGTCGTCTGGCGCCAATTCGGCTCCATTGGTTAGATTTTTTTTATAAACTTTTTCTAATGCTTTTATTACACCAAAAAAAAAAAAAAAATTGTCAACCAGATAATCTTTGCTTATCTGGGTTTGTTTGCATGTGAAAAAGGTGTTTGCTCTACAAGCTGAGGCCTTGCTGAAGCTCCTGAGACATGAGGAGGCATACACAACCTACCAAAAGGGACCCAATTTCAGCATTGATCTTTGCATCAACTTCTTTGGCATGGCTTATAGTGCTTATCTTTTGATGATTAGATCCCATGTTTACTTGGCTGCTGGCAGGTTAGTGAGTCTAAATTACTTGATAAAAGATTCCCTTAAACAAATAAAATCACTTATAAAAGATGCTTATTAGCGCGTATTAAAAAATACATGTTTGCTTACTTTAATCATACCACATTAAGGTTGGTCCCCGCAATTTGGTTCCATTTAAAGGCTTAGCCATCCCCCATTTGCATTCAACAAAACACCTCAATTCCTTATTGAGGCAGAAAGATTTCCAATTAAGGGCAAATATGATTATCCTTTAAATTTAAAACTAATTAAGTACAGACGACATTACTAAGTGGTCTAGGTATGTGTAACACCCCTCAACCATAGTTTATTTATTTATTTGGAAAAAAAAAAAAACAACACATCAATTAATTGTAACCTTCTTGATTTAAAGGGAACTTTTGGCTCTTTCAATCTCTTGTTCTTTTCTATAACACACTGATCATTACCAATAATATCATTCTAAGCTAGAAGTGGAACCAATAATTTATTTTGCTTTGTGTGTTCTTTTTCTTTATTTATTTATTTCCTTTAGGTTTGAGGATGCTGTTGCGGCAGCTCAACAAGCTGCAAAACTTGATCCAAACAACTTTGAGATCAGCATGGCGGTAAAGAGAGCTAGAGCCATTTCGTCGGCGCGATCAAATGGTAACCTTCTCTTCAAGGCAGAGAAGTTCTCGCAAGCATGTGTTGTGTACGGCCACGGACTAGAGCATGATCCGCACAACTCGGTCTTACTATGCAACCGAGCGGCTTGTCGATCTAAGCTCGGTCAATTCGAAAAGGCCATTGAAGATTGCACCGCAGCTCTTAATGTGCAGCCTTCTTACAGCAAGGCCAGACTACGCAGGGCGGATTGTAATGCCAAGGTAAGCCAATTATATCTTGGCAGTTTCTAGTTAATAGTCACTATAGAATAAAACTCAGTTGTATATTTTAATTATTAAGTAGGGGCATTCAATTATTTAGGAAGGGCATACTTATAATTTCTTATAAAGTAGTGGTATAATTAAAAGTTTAGGAAAAAAAAATATAAGTAAAAATATAATTTTCAAAAATTATGTGGGGGCATGAGTATAAGGTGGCTCCACATCTCCACCACTAGGTATTTGTAAAACATACTAAATCATACCTGTAGCGATTATTAACTTT